CCCCCCCCATCACCCCCTCCCCAGCCCGTTTCTCCTCCGCCGGGGCTCTTCGGCGGCCATGCGGCCGGTCCCGGGCGGGCGGCTCTAACTCGCCCCCTCGCCCGGATGGCCCCCCGGAGCCGCGGGCGGATGGAGCCGAGCTACGTCGTGGGCATCTGCTGCCTGGTGCTGCTGGAGCCGGGCCGGGTGTGGAGCGGCGAGCGCAGCACCGGGCGGCCCGGCGAGAGCGGGAACGGCAGCCAGGCACCGGCGGCGGAGCCCACGGCCCCCGCGCCCACCGGGGCGGCACCGCCGGCGGGGGACCGCTGCCGCGGTTACTACGACGTGATGGGGCAGTGGGACCCGCCGTTCAACTGCAACGCCGGCATCTACCAGTACTGCTGCGGGACCTGCGGGTACCGCTTCTGCTGCCAGTTCAAGCCCGGGCGGCTGGACCAGAGCGGCTGCTCCAACTACGACACCCCCAACTGGGTCAACACGGGCCAGCCGCCCGCACGGGTGGACGAGACCCCCGAGGACCCCACTCGCGACAAGACCAACATGATCGTCTACATCATCTGCGGCGTGGTGGCCATCATGGTGCTGGTGGGCATCTTCACCAAGCTGGGCCTGGAGAAGGCGCAGGGTCCCCAGACGGAGATGACTGTCTCCAGGTAAAGGGGTCCGGTCCCCCCCCACCTGCCCTGCTCGATTCCCCCATGGGTGGCAGCCCACATCCCCAGCCCCTTGCGTAGGGCGAGCCCCTGCTTCACCCTAGGGCTGCCAGGAGGGTGAGGTGATCCCCAAAACCCCCGTCCTGGCATTCTGAGACACCGGGGGGGTGGGTTGGCTGCAGCCCCCCAACCTGTCCCGGCAGGGAGGGCTGCCAGCCAGGACAGCCTCCATGAGAAGGGGTGATCGTACACCCATCCCCTCTCAAAGTGACCTGCTCCATCCCTTGGGGAAGGCTGTCCCTGCCTCCTGAGAGCCATCCCCATCGGCCAGTGGGGTGGGCAACATGTGAGCTGTAGGATGTGGCTTCTGCCCCCCCCAAAACAAAGCCGTGGTTCCCAATGTGCGAGGGAGGCAAGACTGGGTCCGACTGTGCGTGGGTGACTCGGGACCGCAGTCCCTTGGGCTCAGCCTCGCTGGCAGTGGGGGGGGAGAGGAGATGGCAAAGACAGCTTGGCTGTAGCTGCTGCGCTGCCTCGTGCGTGTGCATGCATGTGCACATGCGTGTGTGTACATGGGTGTGCACGGTGCCTGCCTCTGTGCACCGGGGTGGGACGTCACCCTTGCGGGGGGGGACTGTGCTGCACACCCCTGGGGCTCAGCCTCCAGCGTAAAGTTGGGCAGCCTCCCCCTGGCCGCCGCGCCCTGCGGCTCCAGCCCCTGGCTTTTCAGCCCACTCCTGGGGCTGAGTGTGGGGCTGGTGGGAGGGAGGTTGGGGTGTCAGGCACACTTCAGCATTGGGGACCCCTTCCACGTCCCCCTGCTCCTGCCCGGCTCCCATGGCTGTTGGTGCGTCTTCCCCTCTCCCTCCCATACCAGTCTTGGCTCCAGATACACGCTTCTCACCCATTTCGGCCCACCCCCCTTGCCACACAGCCTCCCCCCCATCTCCCAGCACTGAGGTGTCACGAGCGGCCCGGCCTCAGCCCCACCAGCTTCCCTGGGGGCAGCGGGGTCCTGTGCCTGATGCTGGGGCATGTGGGGACAAGCAGGAGCGGCAGGTGACACCCCCACCCCGGCGTAGGGTGGGGCAGGGCGAGGCAGGGCGGGGCAGGGCAAGGCAGGATGCACAGGCAAGGCCAGGCAGGGCTGGTGGCCCCAGCCCCAGCCATGGCTCCGTGGCCTTGCTTTCCTGTCAGTGTCGTGTTGTACAGCTCCTTCACTTAAGTAGGTTTTTTTTCTCCCTCCTTTTTTTTTAATTTCTTTCTTTTTTTTTTTTTTTACCAATCACATTCAATGAGTTTAACACTTCAAAGTGGCTGCCGGCAGTTCCAGCCTCCCTGGCGCAGCTCTGCCCCTGCGGCTCTGACTCAGAGCTGGCCCTCCTCAGCCTCCCCCCACCAGCGCACATGCGATGCACACATGTGCACACACACGTGTGTGTACACACACAGAGAGGAGCAGAGCCGGGGCAGGTTCACCAAGGTGGTTGTGCCATGGTCGTGCCATGGGTGCCCTGAATCAAAGAGGGAGGGATGGAGAGGGGACCCAGCGAGGGCTGCAAGTGCAGCGAGAGGGGCTGGCGGCTGAGCCAAATCCAGCACCTTGCCGAGCAGCGGGATGCATGTGCTACTTCGCGTCTTCCCAGTGAGGACATTGAACCTGGCGATAAACCCATTTTTATGCCATTTTGTTCAGGGATTTTAGCTTTAAAAAAAAAAAAAAAAAAAAGGCAGGGCTGGAGGAAATTATTTCACCGGGACAATCAGGGAGCCGCCCTGATTGTACCTCCCCAGCACAGGCACCCTCTCTCCTTCCCCTGGGGCACCCACTTCCCCCTGCCCGCCTGGGGCTTGGGCAGCCACTGGGTGCTACACCCCAACTCCGAACCTGCTGCACCCCATCCCCAGACCCACCCTGCTCCTTGCACCCACCCAGGGGAGCAGAGGCTGACTCCCCTGCTTGGAGGAGGGTCGTATCCGGGCATGGGTGGGGGTCGCAGGGCCCTACTGAGCCATGCGAGGCACTTTTGGGGGGATCCATGCTGTGGCTCCCCCACCTTGGCAGGGAGCCTGGCTGGGTGCTGCTGCGAGCCCATGCCTCCCCACCCCGCATCGCCTGAGGAAGCGCTGGCACCTTGACAGGATCAATATGGCCTCTGCCAGCCTCCCTGCCTCTCAACTCCCTTTCCACTTGCCCGCCGCTGCGTCTTTTTTTGGTCTCCCCCCCACCTCCTGGGAAGGAGATACTGTGCTTGGGGAGGGGTTGGCCCCCGGGATGCCTGGACTCGGGTCCTCATGCCCTGCCTGCAGGTCTTTCTTGCCTTCTTCCATCACCAGCTGCTGGCGGGACTGCTGCCACTCACCAGGTGGTGTTTTCTGTGGTTAGCCTCAATTCTGTGCCGCCGGAGCCATGTGTTTCCCCAAAGCTGCACATCTTTTGGGCATTGACATATGGACTGGGAGAAGGCGAGTTTTCCTTGCCCGCCTTTGTGGGACAAAATCAGAAGGGCACCTCCATCACTGCAGAAGTCAGGAAAGGTCTCGCCATCTTCCATGCCCTGTGTCCTTCTGCATAAGCCATGAACGGCTCCCGGTCCACGGGGATGGTGACCAGCAAGCCACAGCAGGGCAGGAGCAGTACATTGGGTACAGAGCCCCGGGCAACAGGAAAGGCACCAGGCGAGCGCAACCTTTTGGGTGCCGGGCTGATGGAGACAGTGCCAGGGGCTGGGTACATGGCACGGGCATCCGAAAAGGGATGCTGTCGCCTCCATCGCGCTGTGTGCCCCGTCAGCCTGGGCAATACGTTTCATCATGGTGCCTCTGAGAGAGCAGGGCTATTTCTAGCTGCCTCATCCCCATACCCACGCATGGTCCAAGGCATGGGCAGTGCCACCTCGTCTCCCTCCCGGAGCCTCAGGTAGGAGCTTCTCATTTGCTCCTCGGGCACCGCATCGTGGCCTCAGGCCAGCTCCCTGTTGCACGGCTGGCTCGGTTTCCATTCCCATCCCTCCCTCCCACCAGGGTTTTTCCGCTCCTGGGGAGCGCTGCCTGCTGCCCCAGGATGGCTCCTGCTGCCGCTGCTTGCAGGCTTCCCCCTTGGAGGGGGGAAGGTCAACCACTTCTGCACCTCCAGGCATCGTTTGTCATGGTCCTGGTCCTGGTCCGAGCCCAGGAAGAGCGACCAGGCATAGAAACCTCACCAGCTCCTCCCAGATGGAGACACCTGAGCTGCCCGTTCAGTCCTGGCTCGCTGCAGCCCTCATCCAGCTTGTCCTGAGACCCCCACGCCACAGCCACATCCAACATGGCTTCTCCCAGCTTTGCCTGCCGGTCCACCCAGGGGAGCGGGCGCCCAAGCGGCTGCAGCTACCTGGAGTGTCCCCCCTCCCCATCCGCCTTCTTCCCGCAGGGCCTTATGGCAGCTCCCGCAAACCCCTCTCCTTCCTGCTCGGCTCACGCTTGGCAGCCATCCCTGGCATTCGCTCAGCCTGGCCAAACCCTGCGTTGAGTCAGGAACACCTGCCCATGTTTTTCTTCAGGGCCCGGATCTCCAGGGACATCGGGTCCTCGGGGGCCGCCGGGATCTGGCTGTGCCCATTGCACAACAGCACGGATGCGCCCCAGACCTCTCCCCAAAACCTCCTGGGGGGCGTTGCAGGTTATGGCTGGGGTGACCATCCTTATGGGACGAGTTGGGCGAGGAGCAGCCTCCTGGGGGGCAGCGGGGATGCTGGAGAGGGACAAAACAGCCGGTGGGAGTGGGTGCCCTGGCAGCCACAGTAGCCGAGTGCCCGATGCTGGCTTTTCACTCTCTAGGTCCCCCTGTGCTATTTGGGATCCCAAAACCCAGCCCTGCTGTGCATTCAACCGCCCCGGGTGTTTGGCAATGCTCCAGTCTGCGGCCAGACCTGCGGTCAATGCCCGCAGTACCAGGTGACTAGACCTGAAAAGGTGTTTGCAGGCAGCATGGCGAGTTGTTATGTGCCACCCTGGCTCTCCAGGGGACGAGAGAGGGGACCCAGCTCTTTCAGGGAGTGACATCCAGACCCCTGTCCCCAGACCGGACACGATGTCCAGCCAGGCTCACTCCCACTGCCCAGTGCTTTGCCCAAGCTCCGTTACCCCTTGCTGCAACTCCAGTTTTGCAAAGGTGCCTTGCTATCCCCAAGCCTTCCTGAGCATCCCTGAGTGTCCCAGCCCTGCCGTGCGGGTGTCCCACGCTGCCTGCACTGCTCAGTTGCATGGATGGGCACCCCCTGCCCCAAGCAGATGCACCATAAGCCATGGGAAATGTCCCCCCTGGGAAGCGAAGGTGACACTCTCGCTGGGTGTGGAGGTGGCATGGCCGGCCAGGGTGCCAGCCCACCTGCAGCCGCAGTATGCTGTGTGCCTCTTCCACCACCGCACCTCTGCTCCAAACCTCACTGTCCTGCTCAGCAGGCAGCTGCCACCTTCTGTGTCCCCTCCAAGGGTTATTCGCTCCAGCTCGGGGCAATGTCACTTTGCCTGTCACTCCATCATCTCTCCTCTCCTCTGGAGGCTGTGCTCCTGTCTCCTCCCCATTGCTCCCTGTCCCCTTGCCCAGGACTTGCAGCTGCTCTCCTGTTGGGCTTGCCGGGTGTGAGGCTTGGGCCTCCCAAAAGCAGGTCACCACCCCTGGGCCGGCGTGCTCTGCCAGGCCCTGGGTCCTGCTCCCACATGGGCACCTCCACTTCACGTGCCGGTGGCTCCCCTGAGGATGGCTTGGGAGCACGGAGCGCTGCGTACCGGCTCCTGCCACAGAGCTGTCTTGGCCTCCGTCATCACAGCTCCCGGATCTGCCTCTCTGCTTGGTCTCAGGGCTTGCGCCAAGCTGGTTTGGGGAACCTTGGTTGCACCCATTGGCAGAACCAGGCTTGCGGAGGTGGCTGCATGCCTGGTCTGTCAGCGGCTGTGCTCAGGCAAGCTGGTGGGCAAGCAACCACATGTGGCCTTATGCGCTCAACATCCATGGCCATGGTGGTGAATGGAGGCCTCAGTGGTGCCGCTCGTTAACGTTTTTTTGCAGATGAGCAGTGCAGGTTTAAAGGCACATCTGCCCTGTGTACACCACTTCCATCTGCACCCTGGAGCTGTCTTGGTGCCACAGACCACCGGGTGACCTAGGGAGATGTGGCCTGACCTTCCCCAAGCTCCCCAGTCATGGGACTAGGCTGGGGTTCATAAAAACCCCCAAAACATGTACAATGAGACATCAGCTCCTCAGCACGGTGTCACCCTTCAGATCCACCTCCCCTGCACCGCGCTGCCTGGGGACAGGGACAGGAGGGGGGTGCAGCCCCCAGGGCCCTGCTGGCAGCCCCGGCCGGCGGCATGGCTCATGGTGCAAGGTGGGGGGTAAGTCTGGGTATTGCCGGGCGCTGAGGGCTCATGCATACTTCTCACCTTAGCAAAATAGCTCGTTAAGAGCTGCTCGTACCATTATTGTTAATTGTTATCGTCCACACACCCCGGGCAGTCGGCGTGGAGGGCAGGCTTACGAGAAAGAGCAGTGATGGATTTATGTGGAGAGGAAGTCACAGATAAAGGATTGCTCAAGCTTCATAAACAGACCCGAGGAAAAAAAAAACAACAGAATTTAAAAAAATAGGTCAAATCACATTGAACTTCCTGGTGAAATGCCTGTTTGAGCGCTGGCCCCAGGGACAGGCGAGAGCAGGCAGCGGCCAGTGGGGAGGGGGCCAGCAAGCAGTGCACCCCGGGGAAGGTGGGAGCTGACGGGGCGGCAGCCCCCCGGGTTGACAGCCCCTGCCCACGGCCTCGGGGGACCTGCCTCCCCCCTGCCCTGCCTGGCCACAGCCCGCTGCCCCCCCCAGGCTTGTGCCCAGAGCTTTTCTGGGTGCAGCACCCGTGGCCAAAGGAGCCTGGCTGGGCCCAGAGCTGAGGTCAAGTCGGCTGCAGGAGGGCTCCCGGGGAGGTGTGGGGTTTGAATAGCTGCAGGATGGAGGTGCCACAGCCTCCCCGGGCGGCCTGGCCCAGTGTTTGACCACCCTCACCAGCAGGTTGTTTATTCTGTTTAAACAGAATTTCCTGCGTTCCGGTTCGCGCCCGTTGCCTCTTGTCAGCCTGGCGCTGTCCTCATTGCATCCTCCCTTCGGATATTCACATGCGTTGATAAGATCCCCCCGAGCCTTCTCTTCACACTGAACGGTCCTAGCTCTCTCAGCCTCTCCTCACAGGAAAGATGCTTCACGCCCTTCATCATCTTTGTGGCCTTTTGCTGGACCCTCTCCAGTATGTCCATGTCTCTCCTGTACTGGGGAGCCCAGAGCTGGAGCCAGCACTCCAGCTGTGGCCTCCCCAGTGCCGAGCAGAGGGGAAGGATCACCTCCCTCGGACCTGCTGGCAACGCTTTGCTTAATGCAGCCTAGGAGACCATTTCGTCGCCTTTGCCCCAAGGACACATTGCTGGCTCATCTTCAACTTGGTGTCCACCAAGGAGCCCCAGGCCCTTTTCTGCCAAGCTGCCTTCCAGCTGGTCAGCCCCCAGTATATACTGGTGCCAGGTGTTATTCCTCCCTCATTTCAATTTCTTCAGCTCCATGAGGGTCCTGTTGGCCCATTTGGAGATTAAGTGATCCCGGGGCAGGGCGGGGGAGTGTTACCCAAAGCTCCCCAAGAAGGATGTGAAATGAACCCAAAGGGCAAGCGACCCTCCCTTGTAGCTTTGCTCTTGCCATCGCCCTGTGATTGTGACTGGATCCAAACTGGGAGGGAAAATGTCCCGGGAACAGCCCTTGGGGCCCCTGGATTATCCACACCCCCAGGCATAATGTATTGCTTTCGCTGTTGTTCTCGCTGCCTTCCCTGGCAATTCCCTGCACCAGGCTCACTGGGCTTTTGAGCACTCCAGAGCCATGAGCTGACATATCCACCAAGCCAGGATTATTCCCCCGCTTCCTCTCCAATTTGCATTTATGCACGTTGAGTTTAATCTGCTGTTTTATCGTCCAGCCACTTGCTAACCGTGAACTCCTGCTGCAGCTCCCGGTGCGTGTCTATGAGCCAGCCAGAGCCTTCGAGGCGCGAGGCATGCTGACAGTGAGCCAGGGATTAGGGAGACAAAAAAAGCCCTGAGTGGACACCCCTGCACCCTTGCAGTCAAGCAGGGCTGGTCTCTGCAGGGGGAATGGTGGGTCCTTTCATGGTGAAGCCCCACACCAGCAGGAGCATCCCATCCTGCCCTGGGACTTGCTGCTGAAGGCTGCAATGCCACAGGGGCATGCCCCGCTCCAGCACTGCCAGTGTGCCCTGCTCCGGCACCAGCGGCATGCCCCACTCTGGCACTGCTGGCGTGCCCTGCTCTGGCACCACTGGTGTGCCATGGTGGGACTGCGGCATCTCTGTCCATGAATGTTAAACACAATAGGGCTTTATCTTATGTAATGGTGTTTAATGTTTAATGCTGTTACTTATAAGGAGGGCGTTACGCAGAGACAGCGCGTGTGCCGGGGGCTGCCGCTAGTTTATCCTCCTCCCCAAAGAGGTGCAAGTGGCCTCTCTAATCCCTTCCTCGGGGTCTTCTCTGCTTTGAAGGAACTCGAGTGGAAGTGTTGCCTTCTGTGTCGTCCCCCCCCGCCATCAGGCTCTCACTCTGGGGGAGCATCCCCGAGGTGTTGCTCCGGCTGCCGGCAGTTCGGGTTCCTCCAGCTCGGTTGGCTGCACCCTTGCAGCCCGCTCAGAGCCTGCATCTCCCTCACTGCCCTCACCCACTGATGCTCCCAGCCCTGGGAGGGCTCAGACCCAAATTCACTGCTGGCAGGGGCTCGCCAGCCCCCTTGCAAAAGCTGCGTTGGGAGCCTGGGTACTCTCCTTGCTCCCAGCAGCCGTGTCCTAGCCACAGGCTGCCTGGCTCTGCCTCCAAAGAGAGGGGGTTCAGGGCTGGGACACATTGGTGGGGCCAGGGGAGTGGGGTATCGCCCTAACGGCCCTTCGCCCCCTCCCCAGGACGCTGACGGACCTGCTGAAGCAGCCGGGCCACGGCCCCTCTGAGCACATGGACGGCCTCATGGGGGGCGTGCAGGTCCCTCTGGGCGAGGGGCTGGCCCGAGGGCCCCCCAGGAACGGCACAGGTAAGGCACCGGCGCGGTGGGGAAGAATAAGCTCCCTTGGGTGAATAAAGGCAGCGGGAGGGCGCTGCCTGTGGCTGAGCCCCCCTGCCCACCTGCCTCTGCCCCCGCAGACAAGCCGCCCCTGAACAACGCAGTGGCCATAGCCCCCCCGCTGGGGCGGCCCCACAGCCACAGCAAGCGCCTGCCGCTGGCCAGCAGCCTGGCCCTGCCGGCCCCAGCCTACGCCGCCTACGCCGCCCTCAAGGCTGGAGGTGAGTGCCGCTGCTGCGTGGGCAGGGATGGTGGCTGGGGTGGGACGTGCTCTGTGGAGCCCGCGGGCGGGTGGGGAGGGGCGTTGGGCTCGCAGAGGGGCGCGGGCAGGACCAGCACCCCCGTCCCCCAGGGCGGCTGCTCACGGCAGAGGCTCTGCACTGCCCCGACGGCCGGCTGCACTGCCCGGCCAACCGGCGACCAGGATCCCCCGTGGACACGCTGCACTCCCCAGCCAATCAGAGCTCAGGATGCCCCTGTGGATCCACTGTACTCCCCAGCCAGTCAGAGCTTAGGATCGCGTACGGACACACTGCACTGATCTCCCCAAACCCTACGGCACTGCCCAGCCGATCATCGGCGCCTAGGATCTCCCCAAACCCTACGGCACTCCCTGGCCAACCTGCAGACGAGATCCCCCCCGCTCCCCAGCCCATCGGCGCCCGGGATCCCCCCACGCTGGCAGCGGTGTCCCCGGGGGGTGACGCCCCACCCCTGTCCCCACAGAGTGCGCCCCCGAGGACGCCTGCAGGTGGTTCGGGGGGCCGGAGGTGCCCCCCGCTGGCGCCCTGCCCTTCCCGC